CGGCCCCGAGGTCAGCGTGGCCGGACCCGAGGTCAGCGTGGACAGTCCCGAGGGCAAATTCAAACTGCCCAAGTTCAAAATGCCCAAATTCTCCATGCCTGGGTTCAAGGGCGAGGGGCCGGACGTGGAGATGACCCTCCCCAAGGGCGACCTCGACCTTTCCGGCCCCAAAGTGGACATGGAGGCGCCCGAGATGGGTGTGGACGCAAAGGTCAAAGGGCCCAAATTCTCCATGCCCGAAATGTCCATCAAAGGCCCCAAAATCTCCATGCCGGACATCGACCTCAACCTGAAAGGACCCAAAATCAAGGGCGATGTGGACGTGTCCATCCCCAAAGTCGAGGGTGACCTGAAAGGACCCGAAGTGGACATCAAAGGGCCCAAAGTGGACATTGAGGCCCCCGATGTGGACATTCACGGTCCTGAGGGGAAATTCAAGATGCCCAAATTCAAAATGCCCAAATTTGGGATGCCCGGGGTGAAGGCCGAAGGGCCCGAGGTGGACGTGGACCTGTCCGGCCCCAAAGTGGACATTGAAGGTCCAGAGGTGGACGTTGAGCTGCCCGAGGGGAAGGTGAAGGGCCCCAAGTTCAAAATGCCCGAAATGCATTTCAAAGCCCCCAAGATCTCCATGCCGGACTTTGATCTGAACCTCAAAGGGCCCAAAGTGAAAGGAGATGTGGACGTGTCCATCCCCAAACTGGAGGGGGACCTGAAAGGACCCGAACTGGACATCAAAGGCCCCAAAGTGGACATTGACCTGCCGGACGTGGAGCTGGAAGGCCCTGAGGGAAAAATCAAAGGGCCAAAGTTCAAAATGCCCGAGATGGACATCAAAACACCCAAGATCTCCATGCCCGACTTTGATCTGAACCTGAAAGGTCCCAAAATCAAAGGGGACATCGATGTGTCCGTCCCCAAACTCGAGGGTGACCTGAAGGGTCCTGACCTGGACATCAAAGGCCCCAAAGTGGACATTGACCTGCCGGACGTGACCCTGGAAGGGCCGAAGGTGAAAATGCCCGA